TACTTTCACTATATTACTTGTACAATTTAGTGCACTTGCTGAAGGCGTTATCAATGTCATGTGAACTCATTTGAAGTAAGTGAGATTTACAGGTGCCACATTAATTTCTGAGACTTCCATGTTTTTTATATTGTTAATGATTCACTGTTTCCATTTGTTTAAATTAGGATTTGTGTTAAAATGATACAAACAATGTTGAGATCAACAAAAGGGAATAATTGATTGTAGTCCCCTTAAAAATTGCCTATGCTTATTTATGAACTATAGAGGTATTAAAGGTGGTTCCTCATTATGGTGCCTACTTAATATATATTGTTTTAAAATGTTGTCATATTTGATAGTACTTAGTAATGTCACTCAAATTAATTCCCCTTTTTCTAGATGTGGACATTTCCACATGATCTATCCTTACATTTGAATCATATTCTAGATTGGAATTCATGGGGTTGCCATAGTTTAGTTGTACTAGAGCTTTAGTAATTTAGGCGTTACAAATTCCATTTCCATCATAATACTATTCCTAGGTATATCGTCCATGTGTACAGCAAACTTAAAATGACAAGTCCTCTAATATTCATTAAATACATAATTTAACTTACATCGTACAAACTATCTATAAGTCTAATACTCTCTCTGGGTACTGTCATCTTAGTTTTTTGAAAGGTTATGTAAGGACAAGCCTCTATTCTCATTACCAAACATACATCCAAAATTAAGTCACACAATACGAGCAAAGGCAATACAACAATCAACCAGGCCACAAAATCATATTTATATACATGCAACAATCATTAATTATTTAGTTTATTACATGTACTCTCTACTAATACTCAGAGTTCTCATTTCATACTTTCATTACTCCTGGGATCCCTTGAGGTCTTCCTTAGTACAGATAGTTGCTGGATAGCTGCAGCTACACAAATACAACTTGTGCTGACCTATCCCCTTTTAGCAAAAGTGTGGTTAGGAGTTTAAGTCAGGAAATGAGTGTGAGGCTTGTGATACTCTTATTCTCAGTTGTTATGCAAAAATCAAGAAGAGTAACTACCACCCTCATTTTTTTGAGATTTCTCAAATCGCCTCCATCTTCCACACTCCCAGTTTATCTTTGAACTATCCACATTTGTCCTTATCATTTCCCTTCTCATTGCATTTTTTCCTTTTCATTTCATTTCTCTTTTCATATTTCTCATTAAAACCCAACTTGGCATTTCTACCTTAATATTTTGTTCATCCTTTTCTCTCTCTCTCTCTCTTTTATTCAAGTTCATTATCTATATCACATACCAATCAAACATTGCTGGAAGTTGGTCACCCCAGCTCAATCCACAACATATATACGTATAGATATGCTCAAAATAGACATTATCACATCATCAAACACATGAAAACATGTTTCAACCCAACATATATTCATAATCATGCATCACACTAAAAACCTTTTCATGAGTACAAATATAACAAGTTTTTAGTAACAAAATAGAGCTCTCTTTACCATGAAAGGGAAGTTTAGTAAAGGAGTTATGAGGGATCTTGCTCAAAAGGTTGGGTTCTTCTTAAATATCACAAGAAATCCTATTTAGAGGTGAAAATCAAGAAAATAACCAACGAAATAGAGAACCAAGCTTTAAATACTTACCAAAGAGCAAGAAGAGTGAACTTTCAAGCTTGGATCGGAGAAAGATTGGAGTTTTTCAAAGATTTTCTGAGAAAAATGAGGAGAGAGGTTAGAGGAAATGAAGAAGGGTCATAACTTGCAAGTTTCTCAACTTGAAAACCCTTAAATACCTCTTAACTTGCGACATTCTCGCTACAACAAGCTCTTCTCTCGCTACAGTAAAAAAATTAGACATATTTTCTCCATTGTTGTTTGCTATTTTAGTTACAACGAGAGAAACTCTCCTAATTTCAAACAACATGCATTAACAATCATCACAAAATATAAAATTAATAAATAACAAAAATAGGGGTATTACATAAATAATCGTCAATTAGCCTATGCACATGGATACAGTGTATTCAATAACGGACCCTTTAGCAAAGGTATAGTCAGGAGTCTATTCAGGAAATGAGTGTGAGGCCATATGATGCATTCGCTCTCAAAAAAAGTGTGTACACATATGCGAATGTCGCTCATCACCCTATGTTTTCCCCGGATTCCACATCATCTCCAAACTTTATACCCAGTATATCTTTGTAACTATTTACACTAGTGCATCTCATTACTTGAGCAAGGTCATCCTCGCCTGGGTGAGAAAACCAGACAATGGTTTATCAAACTTTTTACAATATTCTTGCTTGAGCAAGAAGGGGTCTAGAGAGTTTACCATTTTCCTTTAGGAGTCATCCCCTTAGCAACTCATCTTGCTTGGTTGAGATCTCTTCTCGCTTGAGCCAGATCAATTCTTGCCCAAGCGAGAGGGCAGTTGGGCTGAATTTATCCTATCTTGCTTGAGTGAGACTCATCTCGCTTGAGCGAGAATGATTTGAAATCATGTGATTCTAGACGCTTAGTCTCGCTTAAGTGAGACCCGTCTCACTTAAGCAAGACCCCCTGCAGCAGACCTCTATCAAACACTCATTAAATCAAAATAACACATTCCGACATCAACTATTATCAAACATTTTATCAAATAATAAATAAAATGAAGATGACTACTATTATGTTTGCTTTATTGTTTATTATTTTTGCAGTGAGGGCTTTTAGGGTTTGTTTACTCCTTCACACACTACTAATCATACATAACATGAGTGGGGTTCTATACTTAGGTGTGAGTAACTTTAGATCTAGAGGAGTTGTATAGTGATAGCAATTTGGATGTAGTTCTATTTGTCTATCATGAGAACTCCAACTAGAGCTTATTTTCTCTATATATGTCTCTACATCTAGTAGATTATCTATTGATTGTGAATAACATTATGAAATGGATGTTAACTCTAGTGACTTTTTATCCTTAGACTTACAAAATAAGCAAAGTGAGTATGCATATTATAAATGTCTTAGATCATTAGATTAGAACTCTAGAAACCTTGAAAAGACAATATAGGAGCATACTTTTCTTTATCATCTCACTGCATTTTGTTTTATATTATTATGAAAAATATTGTTTTTTTATCAGTAAAAAAAATATTATTTTATTTTATTTTATTTTTCCCTATTCTTTTTTTTTATCATCTAAAGGGAATCAATAATTTTTAAGCATTACATCTTTTACATAAGATATCGTTAAGAATAAATAAATAAATCTTATTCTTGCACACATACTTTTTATATCGCATTATGCATTAAGTTGATCAATAAAAGGCTAGATCTGCAACAATCGAGTATAACGAAAAATAGTTTTACTTATACCAATAGTTAAAGATCTAGTAATTTATCAATCAATTTATCATTACTTTCCAAGGTTTAGTGATTATTAGTCCCAAGGAAGATCATTTTGTCCAAAGAACTAATAGTTTGCCTAACATTTTTATGTTGTATTGAACTAATTGCCTATTGACTTTATTTGTTAGGACACCACCATAACAATTGTTGCCTAGTATACGAGATCGAGATAGAAATTAATATGGGTATAGGAATGAAAGGGAAGAGTTGACTATTTTGAGAAGGAAATTCCATATCAAAGTCAAGAAAACTAATACGATTAGTTTGCAACAGTTAGGATGAAGAATGAGAACAATCAAACAACTTACTTTTAATTTTGAATTGAAGATGACATGAGAACTAAAAAACTTAGTCACGATTATCACGCACAACATCAAATAACTATGTCAACTAAATTTTTGTATCATATTTGGAGTCAAATTTTGATATTACAAAAGGTTCCATTCATACAAAACATTCTACTACATTTTGAGTGTGTAATTCTTTTCCAATACAAAAAAATTATATATACAAAAGATATTCTCAAATACCCACAAAATCATAAAACAACTTAAGAATTAATCTTAAAAAAACTACCATTTGCCCATCATAAAAGAAGGAATAAACATCAAACACCATTACATCTCAAAATTCACCATTAGAAATTTCTCCTTCTTTTTATAACATTCACTTTTCTTAGTAGATTTGATAATTTTTTTTTTATAAAGATTTACCTCCTTATTATATCATTCAAAGAAATGATAACTCCTTCTTCCCTCCACCTATAAATAATTGGTATGGATTATCATTTGTCCATAATTAGCAAAAATGGCTTCTATGCCACAATAACAGAACTTAGGTTTCTTTCTAACTCTCATTTTAGCAGAAAAAGAAACAACTTTTGATATTTCACTCCTCCCTCTCACCATTAAAGAAGCAGACACCTATTTTCTTCAACACAAAACTATATTTTGCAAAAACTTTAGTTAATAAAAAATTAGTTTGACGAAGAGAAAGATTATATACGCAACAATTAATAATAAACTATTTTATAAATATATAATATCCTTATATGTTAATATGTATATTTACCAAGTAGGATAATGATGGTACACTTCAATAAAAATGGTAAACAATTCTATGATAACTTATTAGAGTCATCATAATTTAAAAAAAAAAAAAAAACTAAAATCGTACAATTCAAAATTGTTGAACTAAAATGAAATATAAGAACGATGACTAAAAATTTAAAAGCTTAAATATATTTTTAATCCTTACATTTAACAAATTTTTTATTTTAGCTCATTTAAATAATTTTTTTAAATTTTAATTTGTATTCTCTAATACTAATTTGGTCCATTGAAATACTATCATGTCAGTTATTTATTTGATCAAATCAATGTTAAAGACTAAAAATAAAAATTTATAAAAAAATAAAGATTAAAATAATATAAATCATTTGAAAAATTAAAACTAAAATTTTATTAAAATATAAAAATTAAAAACATATTTAAACTTAAAATTTATTAAAAGTTGAAAAAATCTGATAAGTCATGAGTTTTAATTTATTAATTTTTACCGGTGCTTTTATGATTTTTAATAATTTTGAGTAGAGCATATAGGACGGTGTTCCAAGATTTAAGTTAAAATTAAGAATAAGAAATCCTAGCGTGAAGAAGTTGTGTGAAATGTGTGAGTGAAACGCAGAGAAAATGATTTGTGTTGTAAACTGAGGTTTGACTCAGAGCGCCAAGATTGTGCAAGAAGAAGAGTGGAGAGGTCTCGTCTGAGAAATGCCTCAGCATTGGATGTTCACATGATTCAAAAGACCGTTAAGAACGGCTTCCTAACAACCCTCGCGCAAAAATGCAAGACCCTAATCCAACTCAAGCAACTACACGCCCACATCCTCCGATGCCGCATCAACGACACGCCGTATGCCATCGCCCCGCTTCTCGCCGTTGCAGCCACCTCCAACGACGCGTCGTTCTTCTCCTACGCTCGCTCCATCTTCCACCACCTCACTCACCGCAACACCTTCATGCACAACACCATGATCAGAGGCTACGTCCAAGGCCGTTCCCCCCTCCCCGCAGTGTCCTGCTACTTAACCATGTTGCAAAACGGCATTGTCGTTAATAACTACACATTCCCACCTCTCATCAAGGCTTGCATTGCTCTACTTTCATCTTCTCATTCTTTCAACATAATTGGACGTTTGGTGCACGCCCATGTCGTTAAATTCGGCCTCTGCGACGACCCTTACGTCGTGAGTGCGTTTATTGAGTTTTACTCTGCTTTACCCGAGGTGGAAACCGCAAGGGTGTTGTTGGATAAAACGACGATGAAAGATGTCGTGTTGTGGACGGCAATGATAGACGGTTATGGCAAAGTGGGCAATGTCGACAATGCTAGACAAGTGTTTGAGAAAATGCCTGAAAGAAATGCTGTATCGTGGAGTGCTATGATGGCCGCCTATTCTCGCGTTAGTGACTTCAAGCAAGTGCTGGCTTTGTTTGCAGAAATGCAAAACGAGGGCACGAAGCCAAATGAGTCCATCCTGGTCACAGTCCTCACTGCATGTGCTCACCTTGGTGCGCTCATGCAGGGACTGTGGGTGCATTCCTACGCCAATAGATTTGGTCTTGTCTCGAATCCAATTTTGGCAACGGCTTTGGTGGACATGTACTCAAAATGTGGATGTGTGGAATCAGCTTTATCTGTTTTTGAGAGCATTGTTGATAAGGATGCTGGAGCGTGGAATGCTATGATTTCTGGTGTTGCATTGAATGGTGATGCTAGGAAATCGCTGGAGTTGTTTCACCAAATGGTTGCTTCTGGGACTGACCCAAATGAAACTACTTTCGTCGCTCTCCTCACTGCTTGTACTCATGCAAAGATGGTTCCACAAGGCCTTCGGTTGTTTGAAGAAATGAGTAGTACATATGGAGTTGCGCCACAGGTGGAGCATTATGCGTGTGTTATTGACCTTCTTTCCAGAGCTGGTATGGTGGAGGAAGCTGAAAAATTTATGGAGGACAAGATGGGTGGACTTGCAGCTGGCGATGCTAATGTGTGGGGTGCTCTTCTGAATGCATGCAGAATTTATAAGAATATTCTTGTTGGGAATAGAGTGTGGAAAAGGCTGCTTGATTTGGGCGTAGCGGACTGTGGTACTCATGTTCTTACTTTCAATTTATATAGAGAAGCTGGGTGGGATGCAGAGGCAAATAGAGTTAGGAGTATGATATCAGAAGCAGGGATGAAAAAGAAGCCCGGATGCAGCATAATAGAGGTGAATAATGAAGTTGAAGAGTTTCTTGCAGGTGATCTTTCTCATTCACAAGCACAGGAAATGTGCAAATTGCTTGATTCTATTCTCAAGATGGTGAATTTAGAGCACTCATGACGGGTAGAAGCTATTGTGTACTGCTAAATTGTCTTCTTACATGCATTAGCATAATTATTTGCAAGCACCTATGGTCGCAAAAACAAAAGTCAAATATAAACCAACAAATGGAAGGAAAGGAAAGGAAAGAAAGAACACACAGGATATACTGCAGCTATTGCATTAAGAATTTGGGGATTATTTTATACTGGATTGGTTCAACTCCAGGCTAACAAGCAGCTTGCCCATGTATTAAATAATTGAATCTCATATTTTCTATAAATGTCTTACAGAGTACAACAATTGCATCAATGGCTTGTCATCTAGAATGTTTTATTGTTTGTGAACCAGTGGAAACATTTTGACCAAATTCTTGGAGTCCGGTTAAAGTTTGTGTAAAACATCCAGTCATAGGAAGCCATTTCTGTTTTCCCTTCTGTAACTCATTTTTCTTGTTTGATCTCTTAGCAACATCAGGTATCAAATGCAAAACGAATTGTTTGCCTCTCAGATGTTAGATGATGGAAAAGCAGCAATGAGCGTAATATGCATCATTCCAAACTCGGTGTCAAGAACACTGATTTGCCTGAAAATTATCTGCTGATAATAAACCATTGATAAGGCGTTTAAGCCTTTCAGCTCCAGGACCAGGCCTAAGTTCAGTGATATTTCTTGTGACAGAATACTGTTTAGCGACGCTTGAATTTGCTTGATTGAACCACCTGCCTGGCACATAACCATCTGCATTTCGTCCCAAGAGTTCTGCATCAATCTTGTTCAAGACTGGTTCATTCCTGCCAAATTTCCTAGCAAAAGGAGCGTTGCTGTCCACCATTCTCTGGTAGTCATTAACTGTAAGGAAATGAGGGTGTTGTTTTGGAGGGTTGTCCCATGATATGAAGTGGAGGTCATGGTTCACTGTAGTGTTACGAAACTCCTCAGCATTGCAGATGACTGTGTGAAAATACCCTTCAGGGGAAGACAGAAAGTTGGCATAATACATCAAGACTATCCTAGGCAAGTTATCCCAACCCCATAGACAGTATTCAGTAAATGGGCGGGAGAGCATCATCCAGGCAGAACCTGAGCGAAATCAAGAATCATAATTTAATAACTCAGATAGCGTCAAGCTGGGACTACCAATTTCAAGTTCTTTTCATCAATTTTAAGTCATTAGTTTAGTTAGAGACAATTATTTTTCTATGATTCTAGTACACTGGTGATCTTATGCAACAAGTTAGTCATAAATAATGGCTTCATATTTAGGAAACCGTGTGAAAAGAAGAAACTGAGAAACAACACGAGTCCTAATTACGAATAAAAGGAATTTATGAGGACTGGACACACAGTTCATGAGGAATGTTTGCTTTAGGCTGTAGTAACTAGTAAGATTACCAAACAGCAATGGAAAAATATGTAACTCCTAGAAAGGTATTGAAATTTCGAGTAATCATACTTAAAATAGTGATTAATAAAAGAAGAATGGCAAAAGTTTCTCACCTGTAAACAGTTTATAAGCTGTGGGCACATTTCTTTTCTCCGATACCCAAAATACATCAGATTTATGCACGCTATAAAGACCCGGGTCAATTATGACAGGCTTGGCCCTATGATACCTATTGAAATGAGTGAGGCATCATTTAATATTTTATACAATCGTATGTTACTTAAATGGATAAAATCGTGCAACGAACAGAAAGAAGAAAAGAATTAGCAACTTACTCCTTCCAGCCAATATCACTGGTGTGTTCAATGAAGTTGAGGTGTCTGGGAATGGACGAAAGTGTATGCAGCAGATCTGTTGTGCAAACAAGATATGGAAACTGATGTTAAGTGAGAAAGAAGTATTAAATAAAACACAGATTGGAACGTAACTAAAAATTAAAAAGAAAAGGTTTCTATATTTAACCGGGAGGGGGTGACGTACCATCTTGGGTTACCAAAGGATAATCGGAAGCACTCAAATTAATGAACCAATCCCAGTCCTGAGCGTGGTTCAACAAAATGGCGGCGGCGTGAAGAGTATTGGTGACCATTGTGGGCCCTCTGTAAGTGACCAAGTTGGCCTTAACAACCGCTCTGACATTCCCCAATTTGGCAAGGAGAGGTTCATTGGTGACGAAATTGGCGAGGTCCAACCTCTCCTTCGCCGAAGCCTCAAGGTCCAAATGCACTGCGTAGTAGTTTCTCGGATGGTACAATGCCTTCAACGTCCTTTTCAGACTCTCTCCGTCCCCCGTTGAGCCCGATATTAAGTACGCGATCCTCGGAACCCCGTTGCTCAACGTGGGACACACCCTCAACTTGTGCTCCACGAACTGTGGCACCTCCTTTGCCTCTTGGGTGGTGTGGTGGTGGTACTGGTATAGTTGGTAAGAGGATGAGTTCGAGGATATTACAAGGGAAACAAGGATCAGGAAAGTTGATATGAGGAGAGAGAAGATGAGTGGCAGGAACCACTTCTTCTTCTTGTTCTGCTGTTGCTGCTGCTGCTGCTTCCTGCTGTTGGGTTCCATCACTGGCTCTGAGTGGTGAGGTTGATGAAGAGGAAAGCTTTGTAACGGCGCAGGATCTATGTTGGCGTTAATGCGCAGTGGAAGGCAGTGCCAAATCAGGATTGGAGAAACATGCGCCAATTCATTCTTAGTGGGAATCACTGGGAGACAATCATTATGACTGCTCAGGCCCATACCATTTTCTTTTTCCCATTCTCTTATTTAAAAGAGATTTCAAATCACTGAGAATTAAAAAGGATAAACATTATACTTTTTTTACTGGTTAATATGTTTTAAAATTTGGCTTATTTAATTTCTAATAATGAATCTCATGTGCTTTATTTGTTCTTTAAAGAAATTCCAAAGAATGCCTAAAACTATTTTCAGTGTTTGGTATGTGAAATTCTTAAGTATTTATAACCAGTTCTTTGGGATAAATTAAAAACTAAGTTGTCGTTTTCTGTTAATTGCCATCTCCAAATTGGTGGGGTGGTATGTTCAAGTTGAAGTCATATATAGAACTTCTACCGTGACAAATGAGCTTTGACGAGGACTTCCACTCCCTAATTCCCCCAGGATCGCCATGTAATAGATTACATAAAAATTCAATATTTCAATTTTCTAAAATCAAATAATAAAAAATATTTTAAAATAAATAAAAACTGTGATAGTGTGTTTTTCTTTCTTTTAACACTTCATAAATTTTTATATTAAATTTAAATATCCATGTAATTGATTTTTCTTTTAAATTATAATAAATTTTATAAATATATTTATAAGAATTTAATAATTAAAGACGTATATTATTTTTTTATATGATATAGATATTGTTAATCTCAACTCTCAGAATTAAATGTAAACATAAAAAACTTTGTTTGATAAAAATATAATCATAATAATAAAATTTTATTAAAAGATATAATAAATATTTTGAAAAAAATTCATTCTTTAGATTCTTTAGCTGAACTTTAAATTTGTAAATTGTAATTGACTTCGGGGTTGACACTGGACAGTGACTGATCATGTTCTCGAGAAAACGCGTACGTCGTCCTTTTCTTTTCGTCACTAAAAATGTTACTTTACCTCTCCATAGCAAAATTCCAGTTGTTACACAGGCCGTCAACAATTGCAATTGGTCACTTGTAACTGTTGCACGCTTTCAGCACTTCTTTGATTTTATTTTATTTTTTCTTCATTCCCTTTTGCAAGACAATATATAGAACTTGTTATTGTAGCAGAACTTGACAAAACAATTAATACAAGTGCAAAGCATATGGCTTTATAAATATGTTCTATGGACAAAAAAAAAAAAAAACATCGTTTAAATGTGTTTTTGGATTTGAATCATTTAAAATATAAATTCAAAATCCTCAAAAAAAGCATATAGGAAGTTAGTTTGTCAAAAACATGTATGTATGTATTTTACAAGAAATTTGCTAAATCAGTTAAGAAAAGGAAAGAGTAAGTTTTCAATAAGCATTTATCTTTTAATATCAAGTCAAATATACAATTCATTCAATGTGTATTTTATTTATTCACTATTATGTAAGAATTAATTTTAATTTATTAGACCCTATATCTTTAGAATTAGTTATTGAGTCTTTATCTACTAATCAAATTTTTTTATTTTTTACTCACATATACATTGGTTTTTCACTTAATAACTGAAGTGTCCGATTACTTTTTCTTTTTCTTTCTTTTCTGGCATTATAATGTCTCTATTTTAATACCTTATTATACACTTTATTTTAATTCAGTTATATATACACATTATACCTCTGTTATTTTTATTAAAATCAGTGTAGTTTTACACATTAAAGAATCATTCATTTTAGTTATTTTACAATTTTTTTGGTTATGATTTACATTAGACAAACTATAGTCAATGTACTTTTACAAACTAAAATGAAAACTCACAAAAGTTGCTTATTTTTTAACATTTATATATTATATTCTTTTTATTTGTAATGCTCCTATTACTTATATTTTACATTGCACAGGTAACATTACTAATAATTTATATTAAAAATTGATTTTTAGATAAAGCTACAACATTTCTATGTTAAGAAATTCAAAATTCCGTACATCAAGTTGTCAAATAAATATTGGTAACTGAAATATTGAAAAAAATACTTAACAAATATTAAAAAAATGCAAACAAATTCGCATTTGTTTTATTTTGAAATTTAAACTGATAAGTTTAATTAAATATTACAAATAGTATATTTGAATTTTGAACTTAAGAACTCTGTTAATAATTGAAAATACTCACCCCTCTAAAAAATAACTGAAACTTAGACTGAAGATAATAACAAATATTATTTGTTTTATATTTTAGTTTTACAATAACTTAACACATTAAAAACTTTTAAAATTGATTTTTCAAAATAAAAGTTTCTCATGAAAAAGACTGAACAATGGCGCTACAGAGAAAGGTAATCAGGAAGTTTAAATTTTCTAACAACATCCCCACACTAAATGCGTTGAACAGTATATAATAGCAGTGTAAGACATCACTCGGACTAACTTGAAAATATGACTTCAAAACAATCGTTTGCAGCTTTACATATAAAGCACCACCTCGGCCTGTTTTTAAAACAACTCCTCGTCCAGTCAAAGCCTCTAAAGGAGCATTCAGCACAACTCAAGAAGCCCATCATACCGAATATCAACTTTTCAGATTAACAGTTTCTCAATAGCATCCTGCACACCCACCAAATGCTCAGAATGCATGCTTAAACATTGATTCAATAACTCACTGATTTTAAAACCAGAGAAGTGATCGAACAGGTTTAAAATCAGTGCAAAAACCGTAATGAAAATTTGCTTTTTTTCTTTCCTACTTGTTTTTAAGTATTTCCATTTTATTTTTTTTAAACCACAGTAATATTTCAGTCAAACTAAGCTACAAAGGTCAATTATGAGGTTCACTTACTGATTGTCATTATATAGCCTTTTATTATTGCCTTTTTATATTACAGAACATCTAATATGGTCATTTTATGCTAATTTAACATTTTACCTAACTTTATTTTAGGTTGGTTTAATTCCTAATAGATCATATAGTATTTAAAATATATATTCAATTATCATCAATGTTGTGACCACACTTTAACCACTATCAAACAAACAAGATATAAATCAGTACCTTTACCATTTAAATGACTGGTTCAGTTTTTCCAAGACGAATAAAGATTAATATAGTTGGGCAATTACATCAAAATTATTAAAGTAAAGCACTGCCCAAACCTTTAGTTGCTGTATTTGTGATTTCAGTTGACTTCCTTCATTAGTTGTCACTGAACATGCAATCACTGGCCGGGTGACACCACATGCTCGCCCAAGTGCTTGTTTTGATGGGACGAAAACATAGGGAACATTCTGAAAGATTCAAATAACCAGACAGTTAATAGTTACTTCCCTGCTACAGAAAAAAAAAATCCCAGAAACACCATGAATGGAAATGAGAGCAACTGAAGTAGTAAAGACCAAAAGAAAAAATCAAAATATTCCCCAATCGGTTTGTAATGAAATACAAACTAAACTCAAGGAACCAAAAATATTATACTAACTGGACAACTACATAGAAAAGGAGGCATGAAAAGAAATTGGTTAAAAGCCATGACCCGGATTACTTTAAAGACACAAATTTACATCAGTGGGATCTTCCCAGCATTCAGTGGGTAAGCATTACATAAACATGCATGCTTTACAAGCAGATAGTATATCATGTAATTGCAAAACATCTCAAATACAAAAGTCACAAACAACATAGACTGCAAATCAAACAATATTACAACTGATAATGACACAGTGATGGAGACCAAACCTTGAGAGATCATGAACAAGAGTCAAAGGACAAGGAGCCCAGTGAGCCCAATACATTTCAAGGACTTGGAAGCCCAATAACAAGAACAAGAACCAAAAAGATTAAGGAGACCCTTCAACAAGCCATGATCACATTATTTGGAGAGGAGCCCAACATGAATCAAGAGAGGCCCAAGATGGTGAATTGCATTCAAGAGTTAGAAGAGTGATGGCTTAAAGTATGCAAGGAAGGCCCAATGCTTATTTTTGGCGTGCACATGTTTTTGTTTTGGAACTTAGTTTTTTTTTTTTTAATAATGGGCTAATATGTTAAGTGGTCCAATTCCTTTAAGTTGGTGGCTGAACTAGGAGTGCCAAAAACAGCCATTGAGGGTTATTATTTTAATTAATTATGAGTTGAATAATGCCTAGGTGGACCATCCGTTGATTGGCTGTATTATTGAGAGAGAGAGAGCGGTGCTTTTAGTTGCCTATTTCGGTTACAAAATGGTCATTAAGTGAAGCTTGATGAGTAGAGCTTAATGGGACTTTGAATGAACATTATTGCTGTAATAATTTCAGCCACTAACTCATTGCTTAAGGGTGGGTGGCACAAAGTTGAAGGGATGATCAATTTGAATGAAAATTCAGCCTTGGCAAACTTAGAGAGTGATTCTCTAGATTTCTTGAGTGATTCAAGAACCTAGGTTTATCAAAGGATATTCACTCCCTTTGTGTGCATGCCTAACCTAGTGAAAGAGTGATTCTTTCATTCCATTCCCAATTTTTTCCAATTTCCACGTGATTGAACCCTAATTCTCCTTTTTTCCAAAATTCGAATTTCAACTAGAAAAGAAACCTAAACTTTCTAATTTTTACAAATTCTACATTTTATTTCCTTAATTATCATCACCACATCATTTTCTTTCCATTTTCGTTTCCCTAATAAGGAAACTCAAATTTTTCCTTTTTAATAACTCAATTTTGCATTTTTTCTTTTCAACTTAATCCCAATCAATCAAAGACTCAATTACCGTGAATAATTCTTCCCCAATTCTTTCAGAATTTTGAATTTCCCCAAGATCCAAACCCTAAAGGCCCAATTAATTCCCAATTTGCCATTGAGGAACACATCACACAGTATATGCACCCAGCCAACAAGACCCATTCTTCATATGCTAAAATTTGAATCTGTGGACTCTACGCTAAAAATTGTACACTTTAACTCTACAAATGATTTTAGTAGAAGAATTAACACTCTCAAAAAATAGGACAACAATTAATCCTAATCTAAAATACAAAGACAAGCCACTTAGTAGTGAGAATAGAGAATTAACAGTATTCATGCAATTCCTTTTCTCTAAATCCCTCCATCAGATTTGTAGTGCAGAAACAGACCAAGGAATAACATAGTGGTAAAGGGATCTTTAAATTCTTTCATGAGTCAGCTTCTTATAATTTCATTTCCCACCCAAAAAACAGGATCTGAGTCTTGGCCAACAAGGTGAGATCTCACTTAGAAGACAAGACTAGAAGGTTCTTTATTTCTTTTTTCCTTTTCAACCAATCCCAGTCTATAATGCTTTCTCCCATTTCCCTTTATCCGTTACTACTATTAGCATTTCTAGACATACTGAATACTTGATGGAAGAAATTTATACTGTCATGAATTATCCTATTCCAGTTGATCCGGACCATAACTTTTACATGTAAGTTTTTATATGTTTCATCATTATTTCCATTTTTTCCAACTTTCTTCAATTTTTTCCAACTTATAATTCAAATCATGTAAAAAATAATTAACAGAACATATTCAAAGATAATCTTAGGATGGATCTTTTGACTAGTAATTATAATAACAGCAGCAGCAGCCATGGCAAAACAGGCGCACGCATATTCCCCAGAAAAGAAAACAAAAGAAAAATCACCTTATCTTCAGCAAGCAGAGGAAGATGTAGCAGAATCTCGAGAGGCTCGGTGTCTGCTGCCATAACAATGAACTCAGAAATGCCTCTGTTAAGAGTCTTGGTGGCTGAAACAAACAGAAGGTTTCAAATGCATCGTTTTTTCTAACCCAAAAAACAAGAAAAGAAAAGAGCGATGCAAGGGCACACCTTCATTGGCACCCTTTTTGAGCTGCTTGTAGTTGGAAGCTTGTTGAACAAGATCCAATATCGTTATTGTGAGTTGTGCATCGGCCAAAGGGTAAGCTTTCGGGTTCACAGCCTCTCCTGTCTGCAAAACCAATAAAAGAAAGAAAAGTTGAGTACTGAGAGTAAGAAACAAGTCTAAGTCAACTTGGAAGAGAATGAGGAGGAACCATTCTCGGGTGCGCCGCTGATTGAAGAGACTAGGGTTTTTCGGAGCAGAAAGTTTGGATTGTGAGAGCAATAGGGTTTAAGAGTACAACTGCCACCTCACTACAAACCTCGCTTTATTGATCCTTTTGGGTGCCGTCTAGGTTAGAGTGCCTTCCTGTGCAGCACGTCAACGTATATTCCCTGCAAGATATCGCTCCTGCTTCATGGGTATATTTTAAGTTCGTTATTAGTTAAAAGAATAATTATATTTTTACTCCCAATAAAAATAATATATTTTGTAATAAATCTTTAAAACATTTCTGTATATTAAATTAAGTTTCTAATTTATTTAAAATATTAAGAATTAAAAACTTTAATTTATGCTATCAATTGTTTTAAGTTAAGTGATAAGTTAAATAATAAAAATTTGTTATTTAATTTTTTAATATTAATATTTATAAATAAATTTTTAAATACATTTTAAATATTTATAAATAAATCTCTCAAACTTTATTTTTTTTCTCTTATAATTTTTTTGTGGTGGTCTCTCTCACTGTCTTTTTATATGTTGTGATGATTCAATCAAATTGTCTTTACCTCTTCTATTAAATCTTTAAAGAGAAGAGGATTCCCAACAAAATAAGAAAGTCAAATAATGAAGAAAAATAACAACTTTGAATGTTAGTTTTCTTAGCCTGCTCTCTCTACTCTTGGAAAGAGTTATACATTAGGTGTACTGTGAATACCATTCGTTATCCTAATGATCTTTCAATTTTTCTTAAGTATATTCTCTGCTGGCCCATATTTCTTTTATTTGATCTTCACGTCTAGTCTAAGAATTCTGATTTATTGCTTGTTGTTCCTTAAACTTCCCCTTGAAAATCCACCTACCCCCTTATTTATGTCTAAATTACGTTGAGAATTTCAAAAGGCAAAAACACTTTTATTCCTTTATATTTAAATATGTGCAGTTGGTCAAACTTTGTTAAATGCATGTTGATGTAACATATTTTAAATTTACATTTATAATTTTATTTTGATTTATAAACACTTTTTATATGTTTTATTTTTTAGTCTTTTTATCATTTTCTAATTATTTGAATAAATTAGATTTATTACAAATAAATGCTTTAATTTTATATTTTTAGTTATTCTGACTTTTGACTACTATTTTGGCTATAGCTTTATTTATAGATATCTTTTTTTACTTATTTCAATTGCATTTGATTATACACATCCAAAGCTTCAAAATGCATATATGAGTTGTTGGTTTAGAGTGATTTTTAATTTTTTATGATTTTTTTAAGTTGAAATAGATTTGTTGAATATTGTTGCGAGATTGCATTTGGACTCCTTGTTATTTAATAATTGTATTTGGGCTTTTAGATATTATTGAGGGCCAAAATTTGGTCACTTAATTTACCCTAATCAGAACCTATAAACAGACTAATAAGGTTCTGAATTAGGATGTGCGATTAGACACTTTGAGTTTTTGGAGATTTGGCCGAAATAAGAATTTTTATTTTTACTTTCTTTCAAATTCTCTTGTTCTTTTCTCATTCTCACGTGGGTTTAGTGTTTTGATGGAAGGCTAAACCTCTTATTCAATCTGTGGAATCTAAACACTGTAAATTTAATTTGAGTTCTAAGCCAGTTTGTTCTCTTTTTGTTTAATCTCAAATTTGTGTATTGCGATCGTGATTAACTTTTCTGTGGTTAGAATTCAAATTAGGATTTGATTGATATTCTAATTTGATAATTAATTTGGGTTAGATTAAATGATAATTTGATTTAATTCCTAGTCTAGTTCAATTAGATTATGTCATGACCCTTTTTTATAAAGAATCAATGACATTCTGCATTTGTCATTCTTAATTAATTTATTCATTTACTAAATTATATATATATATATATATATATATATACACAACATGATGATTCATTGAAGATCTCAAAATGTTAGAATTTTCTTTAATCCATTATGTAATTTTCATTATGCAATGACTATTATGAAATTACCTTTTCCTTTAGAGATCTTAAATTACGTTGCTCTCACAACACAATAAATGGTTCTCATACAATTAAGGGTTTAGAGAGTACTAACCTAAATCCACTGTTCCTTGATGTTTCATCTCTCTTTGATGTCGTTGATCCCTTGGTATTTTCCCCAACTCTTCCTTCTTCTTTCAGCTCCTCTCGAATGGTTGAGAGAAAGTTCCTTTCTTGCGTTTACTGTAAGCTCACTCAGAGACCGTGAAAGTGAAAGAATAGAAAATACCGTAACCCCTACTTGGTAACCGCTCTTTAATTTATATGAAGGGAGAGGGGAGGGTTTCCTTATAATTGTATTTACAATTATACTCTCAATGACTCTATATTTTATATTTAACCACCATCACATTAAACCCTTAATTAGAGTCATGCTATAAGTTACATAGGCCACTATAATAAGATTATTAAAATAAGCTAACACAAAATATAAGAATTTAACTTATAATTACATCCATTAACAAATTAGAAATGCACTAGGCCAGACCTAATACTCAAATCTAGACCAACAAAATAATTAGCCCCATGCTCTTCCAAAAATGCTAACTCCAGAATCTCTTAGCCAGACCTTCCAGCTTGAGAAATGGATGCATCCCTTGTACCTTCTACTTACGTACCATTGTACGATCATCGCATCACACACATATATCAAAACAACAAAAATATAAGGGTGAGCTTATGAAACCGACGACCTTATTAATGAAAAATGAATAAATATAGATGAAATTAATTAAACAACTCATATTAATCAGCACACCACGTTACGCAGCTTCAATACAATAATGCAGCATGTCCAGCTCATTCCCAGCCATCTAATGCAAATGCAGCAATTCTAGTTTCCATCTGATTTCACAGCCTAAGTAATCCAAAGGAACTGTTCCGGTCTAGGAGCGACCCATCTCGGTATCTGGATCCAAACACAGCACAACTCAATATCCTAGGCAACTCTAGGATGATAATGATAAATGCGATGTATTACAATTAAATTAGCATATTACAACCTAACAACATTTTATTTTTAGCTTCAGCATTACAGCTATATATATTTTCATAACCTCAACAAAACAGTAATACATATCTTCAAAGCAAAACTCATCCTTTTGTGTATTTTAATATTCTTAGCATATACAACACAACATTACAGCACAACATATTCTACCACAGTTATTCAAACGATTATCATACAACAAAGAAATATATTCAATCATACATACTTGGGGCTTTTACCCTAAAACTTGTCCATACCACTAATGATTCTCAACTAACCAAGGTTTTTCATCATAAGAGCTAAACCAGCTTAGTTAAACAACTGAGAAAACTACTCAGCTATACTGCTCTAAATTTTTGTTCAAGAATATGGCTACTTAACAACTTATTTCTCGGTTACATCAACATCAAATCCATAATTAACTCCATATTCACTATACAGATAAATCAGCTCAGATAAGCTCCCCTTACCTGGAATGAGTTCCAAGATAATGGTCTTAATGGTTTCTGTATAGAGAGATTGATAGTTTGGATGTGAAATACAGCTTGAACGGTTTAGATCTACTCAAAACAACCCGATTTAAGTCCCTTGAGAGAAAGAAAGAAGAAATAAGGTAAAAACTGAGAACTGAGCTCTGAGAACTCACCTAGACCTTAATGAGATAGAAGATCTCACTTTGATCGGGAAGGAATTCAACTTTGAGAATGTTTTCTCTAGAAGTAATAGAAGAGAGAACAGAGAGAAACTAAGAGAGAAAAGTTATCTAGTAAGAAAATAAAGTTTTTGGGCACTAAGGCTCTTTAAATACCCCTCTAGCGCTCTCTCGCTCAAGCGAGAAGTAGCTCGCTTGAGCAAGCTCTACCCTTGCCTGGACGAGAAAACCAGACAGTGGAACCTCTTATATTTATGATATTCTCACTGAAGCGAGAAACTCATCGCTTGAGCGAGCTACATGCGACATCTCGCTTGAGCAAGAACCTCTCACTTGAGCAAGATCACCTCTCGCCTGGGTGAGGGGACAGCTAGGGTGATCCTATCTACTCTCGCTTGAGCGAGACTAATCTCGCTTGAGCAAGAACACTCTAGGATTCCTATTCTGCACAACAACTTCTCGCGTAAGCGAGATTTCTCTCAGTTGAGCAAGATACCCTGCATCCTGAACTCTTAATTTATCTTTCAGATGAAATTATATTGGTTCTCGATTATATTCCCTAGCTTATTTCATATACAACACACTTAATAAAAAATTTCTAGTTGTTCTGCTCATCACTCTCGACAGCATCATAATACAACATTCAAACTATATACAGCTCGTCATACTGCAATCATATAGCTTTCATACTCACATTCCAATATATATGTAATTCATACACTTTAAACATACTTAACACAATTTGGATAAAATGATCAATACATTAATTTGACAGGTTATTTGATTGAATTAATAATTGAATTGGGTAAACGTTCAAACTCAGATTAAAATCTTTAGATACTATGATAATTAGAGTTATACACATTTGGTATATTGTGGATTGATATTTCTTAGTTTATTTTTACTCAATTTTAATTTGCTCGCAATTTACTTTAATTAATTTGTAGTTTTCAAACCCCTAAAATTTACTCACATTTTTAAAAAAACCTAAAACTAAATTTAAATGAAAATGTGTCTTTGTGAATCGACCTAGGTTGAGTTCTATACTGTAAAATCCTTAGAGAAACTTAGTTACTTTGATAGTGACTCAGAATCATCTATCAAATTGGCGTTGTTGTCGGGGATACATTGTCAATTTTGATTCGTTTTAGGATTTATTATTACTTTTTCACTGTTTGCAAATTTCGCATAATTTGATTTTTCACTATTTTGATTTGTAGGCTTTTGTTTTTGTTTCTATTTCTATTTGTGATTTGGTATCTTTTTTGTTTTGCATTAGTTCATTTATTTAAGTGTGTTTAATTTTAATTTTCATGATTAATAAGGTTAAATAATAAAAAAAATTACATTCTAATTGTTTATTAAATGTTGCAAGTTGTTTCTATCATTTGTTTTATGTTTTGTGTGTTTTAGTCATTATGAAATTATGCTATTTTAGTGCATTTAATTTTGAATTTTTAGAAAATTGGATTAATAAGATTGCTACAGAATTATGTGACTTGCAGGAATTTTGTAGAGATTTTGCAGATTTTTAAGGAGCAACAGAATAAGGATTTGCTAGATTTGAATTCTGCATATTGATTAGATTAGATTAGATAAAATTAATATATTTAAATTTAAATTTTATATTATAGTCAATATTTGATTATATTAAATTTAGTTTGTTCTCCTTTTAAAGGTAGGAGACTAGTTTAAATTTAAATTTTGAAAAAAAATTATCTAACCAATTTGCTAATTTAAATTTAAATTTTGAATTATTTTTATTTAAAAAAATTTGAAAAAAATATTTTTTAAAATTAAAATTAAAATAATTTCAATTTTTATTTTCTTTTTATCGCACTTTTTATTATAGTTTATTTGATTGATTTTTATTTTATTTTTTCCCTTGCACATTTTTATTATTTGATTTGCATAAGATTTGTTTGTTCTCTCACATACCACTAATTATGCATAACATGAGTGAGGCCCTCAACTCCAATTAGAGCATATCTTATATATATAAGTCCCTACATCTAGTTGAGTACCTATTGATTGAGGATAACTTTATGGAATGGATTTTACCTCTAGTGATCTTTTATCCTTAGGCTTACAAACTATCCAAAGTAAGAATGCATGTCATAGATCATTAAGTTAGAATTGTAGGAACCTTGATTGAACACTATGGGAGCATATTTTCTTTCATCACCTCGCCATAATATTTTTTATATTATTTTATGAGTTATGAAAATTATTGATCTCATTCATCTTCATCGTTTTATTTAATTCATTTTACATGCAGTCACTCAAAATTTCAAATTAAATCATTTAGATCAACGGGCGTATCCACAAAATATGTATCTTAATACATTAAATTATGTGGTTATGACATATGTATTATAACATACTGATATATGAATTGTGTATATAATGACGAGAAAGGAATTAGTATGAATAGCTATAGCGATACACTAGGAGTATAGAATATAGAGCCGATTATAGAAGTCTGGGGAAAACATAGGGTGATGAATGACATTCGCTTAAGTGTACACATTTTAAAAATGCGAATGCATCACTTGGCCACACACTGGTTTTCTGACTAACACTTCTAGCTGTAATTTTGCTAAGGGGCCCTATAAGTGTGTACGTTGTATCCGTATGCATGGGTTAACTAACAGCTATTGACCTATTGTGTAAGACCTCATAAAATGCTGGAGCTAACTATGAAAGGTGATCACAGTGTACAAAAAATTGTTTAATTGAGAATAAAGTGAATTGGTTTTGTTACCGATATATGTAAAGTGCTGACGTTCTTGACTCATGCCAGTGATTTTAATTGATTTTTATGAATATGATATAGATATTATTATAGAGACTAATGTATTCATCTTTGCGTATGAGGTTGTAAATAGATTTGTAAATGTATAAAATATATTTGTTGTTTATGTTTTAATGATGAGAAAGGAATTCATCCCTACAAATATTTCAAGAAACAGGAACGATGATTAGGATCAAACTCTCAGCGTTTGGGCATGAATTAGAACTGCTTTTCAAATTTTGAGTATTTGGACTTTATAATGATGTATTCTAAATCAAATATGTATTTGGTTAACAATCTGTAAAAAGTATACTTTTATATACAATTTAAATTCAGTACTTGTACACTCTATATTATTTAAATTTAGGTATTATTATGAAAAGGCAGTTAAATTTTGATTATTTTATTGTTTAAATTCATTGTAAATATGTTTGATCAAGAAAAGTTTCAATTTCTCAAATATTTATACTACTTGATTTGATGAAGAATCAATTTATTCCTTTGGTTTGCAACAAATTATTATTTACTTTTAGAATTTAAAGATTAAGATGTTACATTTGGGGTTATGCATAGAGTTTCCACACCATGCCACTCCCAAACTAAAGGACAAGCGAAGATCTCTAATATGGAATTAAGGCAAATCTTGGAGAAAATTGTCCAACCCAATAGGAAGGATTGAAGTCTGTGCTTAGAGGAAGATCTTTGGGCTTACAGGACCGCCTACAAGACACCCATAGGAATGTCTCCCCATCGGGTTATTTTTGGTAAGGCATGTCATTTACCAATGGAAGTGGAGCATAAGACATTATAAGCGATCAAGCAATGTAATCTGGATATGGATACAGCTAGCTCATATAAGTAGCTTCAATTATAAGAGTTGTAGGAGATTTGCAAAGAAACATATGAGAACTCCAACATCTATAAGGAGTGCACCAGAGCTTTTCATGATAAGATGATAGGGCATAGAGTTTCATATTAGTCAAAAAGTCCTATTTATAATTCTAGACTTAAGTTAATACTTGGTAAATTGAGATCTAGAAAGGATGATCCATTTCTTGTTGTTAATGTTTTTCCTATGGTGTTGTTGAACTTCAGGATATGGGATCTCAAAGAAGCTTCAAGGTTAATGGGCATCGACTCAAGGTTTTTCATGAGGACTTGCAGGAACATGCACAAGAGGAAGCCACTTTTGGATTGGACATCTACCTCGATTTATAGGGAGTTTTTCTTACTTCTCTCCTTTATTGGATTGCTTGAATTGTTCTTTTTCTTATTGTGTTTTCATTGAGGACAATGTTAATTTCAAGTGGGGGGGAGTATTATGTTTTTGGTGTACATAGTCTAATTAAGTTATTTTTTTGATGGATTGATTGAATCCCTAAACCCTAAAATCCTTAACCATTCAAAATAGAAATTCAAAATTAGGAAAATCAATCAACAAATTAGATTAATCCCGAGTTCATCCATAGTTGGTTCAATCATTAGTTAATAAAAAATTAAATACTGATTCCTTCACATATTTGAATTAATTAGTACAAGTGTTAATTAACTCTTGATTTACATGCAAGATTAAGCAACTCTCATGAACTCTAATTTCTTATTCTTGGAATTAAGCAAACTGAGAATCTAATCTAGAATTAAGTAAACTGAATCATGAATCCTTTTTAAGAAGAGAACATGCACTAAATTAGGCAAACAATTCTTATTCAAATCCAAACTCAGCCTCTAAGAAATTAGGAAAAATAAAATTTGTGCAAGAGAAAGTTCATATTAACAATTTATCTTAAACTTCAAGAATCACTATGAACTATACTAGGAATTAATCCTATTTAGGCTTCCATGAGGGAATCCAACATTACAAAGCAATCACTATTCAGAAATAAGAAAAATAGAGTAAGAAAAATAAGAGAAATGAGAACCCTATGTTTAAGGTCTTGGGAGCTGCCCCAAAACTCAAAAGTTTAGAAATGAAAAGGTGCAAGAAATGGCAAAAAGGTCCCCCTATTCTAATTGGAGATCTATTTATAGTAATTTTAACGCTTTCTTCGTGTTGTCACTATAAGTGGTAAAAGTGACAACGTAGAGAACCTCCTGTAATGCCTTAGGACTGGAACAGTCACTTTGGGCATTGATAGTAGCAATGCGTAGTGCGCGTTATCACTATGAACATTGAACATAGCCATGTGTAGTCTTAATAAGCAAAATAAGCCTACATATTAGCACTATGAATGGTGAAAGTGATAATACACATCCTGCTTTCTGAAGGTATTTCTGGAACATTCATTATGAACACTGATAGTGTTCACGCATAACCAATCTTTGTGGGATGCCTTTTGGAACACTCACTATAGACACTGATAGTGTCAATGCTCAGCTGAGTTCTTCTTAGAAGGCTTTGGAGTAGTTACTTTGTGAAGGGAAAGTGATCACTTTCACCCAGTTCTCCCTCTGACAGCTTAAGTCCCATGAATCATTGCTCAAAATTCCCTGCACATTTATTCTAATAAGCATATTCACAATAAAGAACTATAAAAAATAGCAAAAGAAAAGAGAACTATAAAAACTATATAATTTGAACTATTTTAGAGAAATTAAAATTAATTACAGAATTGACATTTTTATGGTATTCACATTTTCCAATTTAATTTTTCTATTAAAAATATGCTAAAAAGCTAACTAAAATATTAACAAAATATGGATTCATCAGTTTCCAATGTCTTTTATGAGTTGTTACAATTGTGACGTGATCTCTGAGGATATGATCTCATGTCTGATTTGATCTCTACGAACCTTTTATCCCCCTTTTCAATTTGTTGCTCCAAGTGAGATTCAAGTTCTGACATATTTTTATCAGCATAATTCACAAATTGCATCATTGTTTATAGGGAGGGCGATAGACATTTGAATTTTAGCTTCCAAAGGCATTCCCCCAAGAATTAGGAGGATTTTGCCACTTTGAATTGTAATTATTGCCCATGAATTTAGCTTTCTATTTGTTTTTAGTGATGTATAGTTGCTACTATAATGGCCTATGGAGTCGCAGTCCTCACACTCAAAAGATGCAAGTGGCTTTGTTGATTGTCTATGTACCTTCATTAGAGATTCCATCTACTCACTCAAAGCTTCCATTTTTTTTGCTAGTGGATTAATTCTCTTTGCTTAATAGATCTAAGCAGTCTCCCTCTTTCTTTTCATGTAATGGTCATTTGTGTGCCACTGAAAATTGGCAGATCCCATCTCATCTACCAATGTATATGCCTCATTCAATCTTTTCTCACGAGAGCTCTTCAAGCTGCTGCATTAACTGTGGCCTAATTGGAGACTAATAGGCCACTACAAAATATTTGTATCTGTCTCTGAACTGAAAAATTATGATGTGGACATCTTTTTAAAAACTCTACAAATCGTTCTTACGCTTCAAATAGGGATTCAAACTTATATTACTAAAACTGGAAATCATTGCCACAAGCTTAGCAGATCTAGATGAGGGAAAAAATTTTCCTAGAATTGTTGAGTCAGATCCTTCCATATTGTGATGAAATTAGTTGGTATTATGGAAAACCATGCATTCACCTTTTTTGTGACAAAGAACAGAAAAAGGCAAAGGCTTATAGCATCATTGGTGACCTTGTTGTACTTTGTAGTGCCTGTGAGCCAGAGAAATTTTGTTAGATGAAGGTTGGAGTTTTCATTAGACATTCCTCCAAATTGTGTAGAGTTTTGAACCATAGTAATCAACGCCAGCTTCAACTCAAAGATGTTGGCCTCTATATTAAGTGCTACAGTGCTTCCCAAAACAATTTCAACAGTGAGTATTAATCTTGGATTAATCTCCTTTCCTTCGTCATTCTTTGCTCTTTCATCTCTTTCCTTTATCTTTGCACAATCCTTTCAATTTCTGAATCAATTAGACAAGCTGTAGAAGACTTAGAATGGGGGAACATGTAATAGAGAAAATTTTATATTAGTAAGACAAATAGAAAAAACTAAATTAAAATTAAGGATTAAAAATGAAAATAAAAGAAAAATTAAAATAAGATAAGATAATAATTGTTCAAATCAATTAAATACAATATTTTCTTAATATTGAAAAAATATTTCATGACAACAGCACCAAAAGCTTGTTTATAGGCAAGTGTACCTGTAAAAAAGTAATAAAAGGTTATCAAATAAGTTCTAAAAATATCATCTTAGAAGAATTATTTCCAAGTGCTAAGAAATCTTAATTCAATTGTTTGAACTTAAAGCATATGAAATTAAATAAAACAAAAATTTAAATATAAAAGTAATTAAGATGAAATAATGCAACCTATAACAATAAACTAATTGATATAAATTCTAAGACATAATGTAATAAAAAACTAAAATAAATAATAAATCAATCCATAGCTATTCAAAAAGTAAATGCAAATTAAAGAAGTGCCAAATAGAGAAGAGATGGAGAGAGTTATTAATCCCAAGACACGCTCTTAAAGCTCTAATAGTCGTCAACAACTAGCCAATCATGATATCTAAGTCTTAGCCCTCAAGGTTCTTTAAACAGGGTTTATAATCTATAGGAGATTATGATTGTTGCCTCCAAGAGATATGCTTTATCTCTAATAAAAATATGATTTTCTGTTGTCAAATTTAAAATTTGAATTCTCTCTTCACAAGTTTCTAAAAAAATCTCTAATTTATCTTCTGAAGCAAGCACGACCCCGCTACCCATTATGCATGCCTATGCATGGTCCATGAAGCACTCTCATGTAACTCTTAAGTAAAGTCGTGTTGCATCTTAAGCAAGGTCGTGCTGGTTGCTCGACAAGGCCTATTTTTCATCCAATTTAGGCTTAAAATACTTCAGAAATATGCTAATATTCTCATTATGCTAATTGTAACAAATATTAAGATAATTAGTGCAAACATTCATAAAATACTCTCAAAGCATATGAACATACCTTAAAATTATACCAAAATACAGACTTATCAGGTATGTTTCAAGGCTTGCACCTTTGGCTAAGAGTACTTTGTACAGTGCTTTAGATATCTCTAATTACTTCAGAGACATATCGTGTTGGTGGAGTTAGTTATAGTTGTAGACAATACACTACCTTGGGTTGACTAGTTAAACTCCCAACAATTTATAATGATAAGAATGTGGATCTAGAGTCTATCATAAGTATGATAAATGATATTTAGGTCAATCCAAGTGCTTGTTTTTGCATCAGAGTCTTGCATTAATTTGAAAATTTATGGTTGTATGCTTATAAATTGATGAATTACTCTACAATATTGAATGAGGTTATTTATAAAATCCAAGATTATAAACCAATTTATAGCTCTACATGTACACTCTTTTCTTTCTTTCAAATGCTAACTATTTTGAGAATATGAAAAATGTTACCTCTCTTTTATCTTTTATGTATTGTGCAAATCTTTGATAGTGTGTTTAAGGAGTATATGTGTACTCAAGGATTATAGCGAGATATTTTACAACAAGAATGCTATGTTTAAAACACAATCACATATTATGGCTACATAAGGAGATCTCCTTCTCTCATGTAGAATCTTATAGATCATATAAGATTTATAAAGATTGTATTGTACTTTTGATGTTAGGTTTTACATATTTGGTATGACACTAATTAAAAATTTGACATACAACTTATGCAATATGGTACGAGACATATTGGATATTAGGAGACAAAAATGTAAATGATATAAAAATCTTTATATCTTATCCTATTTTAAGTTAATTTTAAAATTTATCATGGAAGAATATTTGACAAGTTACTTGTAACTCAATAATATAATTTTATTAGACTTTATATGTGGTAAATTATATAACGATAATTCATCTAAATAATAATAAAATTTAATTTTAATTGAGTTTTACACTAAAATTTGAATGCTACAAAAAAAATAATGAATATTTTTGTTGTAAAAGAATGTCACTATACATAATTTTTTTTTATAACAATAACACCTCAAAGCTAAACTCTTTCAAAATTCATTAATTTTGTTTACAAAATAAATTTTTAAAATCCTTAAGCCATGTAACATAATTTTATTTTAGTTCATTAGTTACCATAAATCAATAAAAATATTAATTATTTGCCTATTTATCAAAAAATATTTTAACTATTTGTATTCCTAAAAGATCCTTAATTCTTTACTTGGATTACCATAAAATTTTTTCATTTTTTAAATTTCTTTTTACCATGTTAACTTTCTTATCATATAAATTTTTAATTTATTTTTCTCTTATAAAATTTCTTTTTCAAATCCATATATGGCCTATGTACGATAAAATTATCTAATTTCTTACTTTCCTTCTAACCATTAAAAATAAATTATTCAACTATTAAATTACTTAGTACATTTTTTCTATAAATTAGCATTTACCCGTTGACAATTAATAAAACAAATTGATAACTATTGATTATTTTGCAATAAATATAAATACATATTTTAACATAAAATTTATTAAAAAATATTAAATTAATTTTTTAAAGATGAAAGTGTTATCACATGTCTTTCAAAGTTTTTATTCATAAAATAAGCTTTTTAAATATTTAAATTGTTGCCGCATTAATTCTCAAAAAGTTTTGTCATCAAATTAATCTTTTAAAAATTTAATTTGCCGTCAAACCGTCAAATTTTTATTTGAGTGATCTAAAATATCGTTATATTGATCTATAAAAATGATTAAAATGATGAAAAAAAAATAATTGGCGATAAATTAAATTTTTAAAGAAAAAAATATAAAATTTTATCAAATTTTACTTTATTAGAACAAAAGGGGCGATGATAAATAAACTAATGAAGTCACAAAACTTTTAAAAAATTATTGTAACAATGATTAAAATGCTTGAAGAATTAATTTGGTAGCCAAAATTTTTGAAAAAACTACTTAATTACATTTTCATCTTTAGAGTATCAAGTTAAATGTTTTTGTGAAAAAGGTTATAACATGACATTTAAACTCTAAGTTATAAATTGAATTAAAATAATTTTATTTGAAGGATTTAATGACACCAAGTATAAGTTTAAAAGACTTACATCAGATCTTAACCATACAAATCAAATAATCTTTTTAACCGTTAGATTATAAATAGAGTTAAAGTAATCTTTTAACTTTTAAATTATTTGATTTGTACGGTTTATACTTACATTTAGTGTTAATAGATTCTATCCCTATATATATATATATAACCCGAAGTGGATCAAAGGAACAAAAATAAATAAACTAAAAGACTGAAAGGAAAGTAGGCAGTAGCAGGACTACTAAATGATATGCAGAAATTAAAAGTGCAGTATGTAAACCAATTAATTAAAACATAAGAAACTAGAACGGTGGTATAACCAACACAGATCTAGTGGAGGGAGAAGAGAAGAAAGCTGGAGCGACGGTAGTCCGAACAGGACCGGCTAAGAGGGAGAAGAGAGAAAAAATAACTTGAAACAACAAATTTTATTAAAAGATCTCAAAGAGGTAAGCTTACAAAGGATGGTATCTCTCAGAGCTTCTCTCTCTTAAATCTCTCTTCACTTGCTAAATGAAAGGGTTATCTGGTATCAGAGCCTGATGGGGAAGTAGGAATATAACTGTTAATTGTTTATGGCTATGTTCTTCTAGATCTAGACTTTAAATTCCTTTATGAAATTTCTGTAACCATGGTTTATAGGCTGGACAGCTGACAGGCCCTTCGGGTGAGACCAGTGATGGTCGTCCCTGTCTGTAACAACGCCACGAACTAATGGTTCTGAAATATTGCTTTTGTATAGACTGTTAATTTTATGAAAATCCTTTACCGGAAGTATAGCAGTTGTTAGTTCTTTTGAATAGGGCTGTAGCAGTAAGACCCGTATGGTTGAAAGGGCAGTAAGACTAATTTGACGATGCTGTATTCAAAAGAAACTAAGAACAGAAGAAGCTGGTGGCTATGGAAAAGAATTTTCAAGATTTTGTGAATAATAATAATAAAAAAAAGAGTCCACAAATAACCAGATCTAGTTGAATAAGTTATAAATAATTAACAGATGTATTGTTACGGAACCAGATGAGGGTTATGAGCCAGATGTTTTTATATCATGTCAAGGCTTCTACGTTCTTTCTCCCGTATTTCCTTGCGTTCTGGCTCTAGTCCTCCTCCTCCTCTCCTACCAAACACAATCTCTTTGATGATCAGGAGAAACATTCTCCTGAAATCACACCCAAACACAACCTCTTCGACGAAGAAGTTCGTTTCGAAGAGATCAACCAAAGCATGGATGACTGGACCATCCCAGTCATTCCTCAGGATACATTATATGTTCCTGAAGATCAACCCAAGAAAAACAGTTCTGATTATATTATCAAAACTGTCGAAAATAATATCCCTTTAGGAAAAGGTATAGGAGAAGAATTTCATCTTCTATCCAAATCCTCTCTCAATGACCATAAAAGAAAATACAAATACCTCCACATAGGATGTGTTCAGGTAGCAA